GCGCAAAACTCCACATCAGATTGAACAGTCAATAGCTAATACTTAAACTAAAAACAAAACAGTAGCTGATTCAGAAGCGCCAGATTGTCATAGCAAAGTCAGAATTACCTCCTCTCCTAGGTTCACGAAACGGTCGTCCATAAAATGCATTGCTGTTCTGTTGTAAGTAATCTTAAAGATTCCTAAATGCATCTACTTTCGGAAGGCCAAATAAAGTGCTTTTGCTTTCGCCTAGAAACACACAGCGTCTCCCTGACATGGCTGTTTCAACACTAACTGTGGTTTCTGAAACCACACCTTCTTTCTTTGCGTGAACATTTGGGTGGCATTATGCAAATATTTCCACATAGTGAGGTAGATATGTGGGGGCGTGTTAGAACGAGCCATTTTAGGGGGGTGTGGCAGAGTCTTAACTTTGATAAAGAATATCTCTTTGGTTTTGAGACTTTAGTCTTTGCAACTTCAGTGATCTTATCTATGCACAATCAGCTTGTAACACTCCAAAGAGAAAGGAAAACTTGAAATCGCATCATATGACCTCTTTCTTTAAGCTCGACCTTCTCCCTCTAACTGCAGGGACACAGCTGTCCAACCGCACCTAATTTTATACTGCTCGACTCTCTTTTTTCCTCTACTATATATTTCTTTTGACCTTCTTTCTCATTATAACCTCATTCTGTAACATTAGCCCTCAGAAGATATATAAAGTTGAACAGGCTGTGTCTACCAATGCTGTCGTCTTCTATATCCGTGGCTAAATTCCCAATGTCCAAGAGGCAGAAGAATACATCGTTATGTTCAAGATAATGCCATGCGATTTAAGGTGAAGTGTGTAATTTCTGTGCCACCAAGCAAAATTGCAAAAATAATGATTGCTTTCGCACAAGTCTCCAGAACACGCCCCCTCTATATGTGATTGGTTGCCCAAACTGACTCAACTCACATCATTGGTTGAGTCAGTGTTGCCATGTTGGGCTGAAAACAATCTAATCAATGTTTTGATAGAGCCACAGAATCTCTGCACATTAAACCAGATTTGATTTCAACATCCAAAATGTGCACACTTCACCTTTAGTACAAAACACAAGCTCTTCTTCTGACAGATGACAGTGTGGGTGTTTATATGTGAGGCGGAAGGAAACGAAACTAACAATTTCCATTATGTGAATGAAGTCGTGTAATCAGCACTCCATCAGCAGTGACAGTAAGGAAACACATGAAAGATAAATTCACACTCTCAAAACACACAAATACACAGAAAGCCACAGAGTTTGGGTCACATTACCACAATCCAGTCAACATAGGGACCAACATCTACTTACAGGAGGACCTGCAATAAAAACAGAAAGAAAAAGAAATTAGTCATTTAGAAAAAAATCATCTTGTTTGGTCCATGTGCACATTACATCAAACATTTGACCCTGATGGATTTTATTTCCCCAAGAACAGGAAAAAGAGTCACGCAAGTCTGAATTTGCATAGTACAACCAGAACCCAGTTTCCTGGCTGTCCAGCCCGGACTGAACTGATGAACGCTGCCTCCGATTTCTCTTACTGTAACACAACCTCTGAGGAAGATTAGAGTTTACACGCAGGTAGTTTAATGAAGTGTGTCACAGTATAGGTTCGGTACGTAAATAAAACGTTAAAAAATATGTTTATAATTTAGTTGATGACAGGATTGAAAAGCTTTTTGTGGGAAAGTGTTGCTTGTCTCTGGCCCAGGGATGAGCAGTCAGCCCACCAAGCAACAGACCACTGAGGACTGAGTTTGAGATTGAGCCACATCACTGGAAGACTGCCTGCACAGACAAATCACACCCGTTCTGAGCACGCGAACTCCACCCAGACATCACAAACTGTCAATCTCCTTCATAGCTAATGCTAAATCATACACCAGCAGCATAATAAACAGTGGAAACAGATTTCACTAACATCGTTAAGTTAAAGAAAAGTTAAAAGTTTTTCACAGTGATCCTGGTGGAAAACGCAGGATAGATTAAAACCCTGAGGAAATTATGTTAAATGGAATTGAGATTTCTACACTCTTATTGGTTGCTGAAAGCATAATGAAAATATGCTTTAATATTTAATAAACGAACATGCAAGGGTGCAGATTCCATGTGGACTTAGTCATGAGGTTAGTTGCTTTGAAAGGTTTGGTTCTTTAAAATTATAATGTGAAAGGATGTCTAAGCTTTAAACAAACTTGATTTAAAATGAGTTAAACAGTCATTTTGAGTATTACAAAAACCACAATTTAAAATTATAAGCACATGCATTAGTAGGATGTACGGCCTCTTTTACATCCTTTGACAAAGACACAGCAATCAAGCAGAACGGAGATCATAGCTTCAGGAACTCAAGCTCTGTCAAGTAAAAACAAACTCAAAATTGCTGATGACAAATCTTTTCCGCTTATATCACCAGAACTCTCTTCTATAACTTATTATATCTGGACAACTGCAAGAACAAAACCAAAGCAATTTGTCATAGAACTACTGAACAATCTGAATCATACGGTTTCTTTCCAGGTCTTTCATCCAGAAACCATTTTTTAGTCCTCTAAAGAGTTTGAAATTGTCATGGCCAGAAACTTAGGGGAGTAACAGTATGAATCTTTGACTTACAAAAAATAACTATATAATGGATGGAAGAGAGAACAAAAGTCCCAATAAAACCATTGTTTACTGCAGGAGAAATGTTTCGAGCAAACATGAACTAGAATTCTTCAACAAGGAAGAAATCTACATTTCCACTGAGCTCTGAAGTCAAACTGGTGCATTAAATATAGTAATGCGCCTTAAGTAATGGCGCAGTCACACTGGTGACAAAGCTTTCCTATGGGTCCATCATTATTTTTTCCTTTCCTGTTTTGAGAACCCTGTATTTTCTTAGAAATCAGAACCGGCATTTATTAAAGCTGCTGCTGAAACAGCAAGCCCTATTTTAGGCATAAAACAATGAGTGAACAACACAAGCAAAATATGTGCGGTCATGCAAGAATAGCTCTCTGCACATTCCAGATCAATCTTTGTCATCATAAACGTTCTCATCTTACCCATGTGATCCATAACTCGGTTTACATGAAACCACTTTAAACGCACAAAATATAGAGGAATCTATAGGTCGTATAGTAGCAGCCTCCAATCACCACCTACAGTCCATTTACTGACCATCCGATACATATTGGTTGAAACAAAAATGGCTGAAATCATCAAATCAAATCTCAATGGCTTTATGCATCTTCAAGGAGTAAAGGCACCTGAAAAGTGCTGAGAATTAGAATTTTATTCTGCAATTTTTTACAGTATTTTCTATACACTTTCAAAAAAAGTGCATAATTTTACATTTAGGGTTGCAACAGTTTGTAGCTGGGACAGTACCACAAAAGTACTTTATTTAGGCCTAAAAGGTTCAAAGTAGTACCTCAAGGGAGCAATATGTACCATTTAGGGGTACAAAGTTGTCCCTTTAAAGTTTCTGTCCCAGACAGTGACAAGCTGTTGTACCTCTAAGTGTACAATTTTTTTCTGACACTGTACAAAGATTTGTGGAGTTCTGCTCTGCCATTTTAATTCATGGAACTAGTTAGTATTGTGATTATGGATTATTAATCCATTTTATGTAAACCTACCCTAAATGACAAATAAAAGCTAAACAAATATATCAGTCTGACAGTTACTTCCTGTCTAAGTGGGCAGTTCTTTGCTAGAAATAGCTGCAAAGAGTAACAGACTTCATGTTTCAAGTCAAAATTCTATAAGCTCTTATAAAAATACAATCTTGATGGATGTGACCCCAAAATTTTTTATTAATACCACTAATTCTGCACTAGGACTCCCTAGTACTGCACTAGTTTATCCCTAAATATATTCTGTAAAGTCCAAGCATCTCTGAATGTTTTGAAATCTCAATGGAGGATTGTGTTTTCATGCTTCTCTTGCTATTAAAAGCTTTAGGTGCGCAAATACGTAGCAGCTTACACACAACAGCAGTTCGTGGCGTTGCAGGCACAGGCATATGCGTACTGTAGACCTACCTGGAGCCCCATCACGGCCTTTCTTTCCCCTCAAACCAGGAGGTCCTGATTGAAAAACAACCTACAGTTAGTCCCACCGTTACATTTATGTATTTAATGACCCAAGCAATAGCTCCACACCACTGTAAAGCTTTGATTTGAAATCTATGATTTATACTAGCAGAGCTATTCGAGAATTGTATTACAATGCTTTATTGCTAAGCAACACAGTTATAGAATAATTTAATGACAGTTCTTTGGACCAAGCTCCCTGTGGATGCAATAATTAAAGGCAAAAATGGGGCTAAAAATATATCACCACAGAGTCACGGCAAGTGGCGGCAGCAAGAAGCAGATAACATGTCAAAAACTGCAACAGCGCAGCCAGCAGTAGGATGAGTGGACACTTTGGTGGACTGGGTGTGGAGAGACTTAAAGCCCTGAAGTGAAAGCCGAAACCGAGCACACAGAGACGTGGAAGCATGTGTTCTGATTCCTGACGCATTCTGGACTTGTGTCCACTTCCTGCTCCGCAGACAACCTTCATCCGAAGGCGAACTGAGCTGGGGCGTCAAAAATACTCTATGTGATGATGCCTAGAGGACTCTAGCTGTAAAACTATGCGTGTCTATGTTTGTGTGAGAGCGCTTGTGGTGGTACACTCAACAAACAACACTGAACTATAAACACAAGGAACATTTAATGCTTCCAATAAATGTTTAGGCAGTGCTATGTCAGTTAAAGTATCAATATCAAGCCGCATATCACAACCACCTGTTACCAGCCTTATGCAAGAGCACTGGAAAGTGATAGGTAATGGAGATCTTCTGTTGCATGCTGACACGAAGGCACCCGAGCCACCCGCCCCACCTCTTTTCATAGTACTGAACCCTGAATATTGAACTATGATGATCCAAATATATTCATAATTCTTGATATAATTTTCCCCGAAAAAAATTTCCAGTACAGGATAGACCTTTGGAAATTGTGGCAGCACAATGGTGCAATGATAGCATCCAATGGTAATATTATGGAATTTTTTTAATTGACTATAGAACTGGAAAATATTCACAATGTTACTGGGTGATATTCATTTAGCATGGTATTTACTGTACGTGGTACCATAAACGGATTGTGAATCTCTCAAAAATATGTCCGGACCACACTGAACCCAAAACATACGTAAATAAATAAATAAATAAATAAAATTTAGCATATAGAAAATAAAGCCTAAAGGTCATTGCACACTGAGTCCGAAATTTTCGCACGTTAAAAAATAAATAGCACCTCACGTTATGTCAATCACGTTTACACACTGCCTCCGAAATTTTCATCCGTCATAAAAAAATTTGGATCCGTTTTTCGCCTCCGTAGCAAGCATTTTGAGAGGTGTTTTGACAGTTCAGAGCCACCGTACAAGCGAACGCCAAAATCCAGAATGCCGATTGTCAAGTTCATCCACTTGATCATCCACAGATCGTCTCGCAGCACAAAGCACTGTAAAGATCCTTACACACTGATCTCACAGAAATTGGTGGTCTTCTTTTTAATATGTGGCTCTAGTATCGCTAGCAAAGCATCAAACTGAGCCACTGACATCCTGAAGTAAACTTTGAATCACCAAGGATAATCCCGCTGCTCCTGAGGGGGAACTCTCCTTCCTCTCTATATCTCAGGATTGGATGGACCCAATATTTCTCTTTTTAAGAAGCGAGAACAACAACAAAATCATCCTCATTGCTTGAAGACTCCATTTAGAGCTGTTTCGCAAATTTTTTCGCAACGGATTAATTAATACGCATCGGACTCAGTATGCAAGGTTTCTGTGTGTGACGAATTTTTAGGATAACGAATACGAAAAAACACATACGAAAATTTCAGACTCAGTGTGCACAGACCTTTAAGTGTTAATTAAGAAAATAAAACACATTTTATAATTTTAACCAATTCTAGGCCCACTTACTCAAGCCAGCCAGGACACTATCATAGGACCTGAGCTCTGTTATATAGACCCAGGAATAACCTCAAGAATACCATGCAACCCAAAATACCCAGCCACTGGCAGCTCCACTCCCCTTATCATCTGCCAATTTTTCCCAATGCTCTGTCCTCTGATTGCTCCGAACACATGCCATAGTGCCCAAGAATGAATTGTTCAGCTTCCAGACCTCCAAACTACAAGCGCATCACAGCAAAAGTCCAGGCATATGATGAGACAGCTCATTGTGAATAAAACAGCAAATGTTGGGCTAACAAAGCATGGATTGATTTTCAGACATGGACAACTTTAGTGCAAGAACACAGCACTG